AATAAATAAAAATATAAATTTATTTACTCTTAATTTACTCTATTTGACAGACAGACACACTTTATTTATTTAATAATTCATGAATTGATTCATTAAATAAATAAAGTATGTCTGTCTGTCAAATAGAGTAATCAAAAAATGTATCAGACCCACATATAAAGTCAAAAAAATTGTAAAACTGCACTAGAATTTCATAATAGTTAATGTTTCAGTTGAACCTAATTTTACTGTAAGCTTTAAAAAACATTGTTTTGTTGTTGTTGTTGTTAGATATTTACTGGATTTTGCATTTAAACTATTTAGTGTGTTTTGCTCATTTCAAGAGGGGCAGTTTTCCATCACCTGATGTTTATCATTTGAAACGGAAGACTTCACACATCTCAGCTAAGCTCTGGGCTTCAGACATTCTGGACTCTGAACTTCCACTTCGCATCTGAGAAAGCCAGTCACTTCATCCTCAAAATCAGCACAAGCTGAACTGAGTTGTAATGCAGCCAGACGGTGCATTTGATTAAAGCATGATAAACATTAACATCTTACGTCTGAGCTGAAAAATTCAAGCACATTCAGATGGGATGAACTCTGACATACTTACAGTGAGTTTACCACAACAGCACCATTTCAGATCTCTGATTCCCACAGCAACAACAACACTGTAAAAGCCCAGGCCAATTTCTGGTCCCTCCTCGTGCACATTTCCATTACTCAATGTCAACAAAGAAACCAAAAATAAAATTATGAACAATGCACTTGACCAGTGCTGAGTACCACCAGCCCTCTCCATTTACAAACAAGGAACTGGCTGAGCTCAGGATTTGAGAGATGAATTACTGCGCTGCCGAGTTCAGGATACAGTGATTAATGTTAATGTTAACACTTTTTTGGAGCTTCATCAATAACAACATGACAGCAGCAGGTCAGCAGATCAAAACTATGCATGAACGTAGTCAGTTTCAGACTCTGACCCACTTCAACCCTTAAATGATAAACATTTGAACATTTTAGAGGCTAAATAGGGAGGTTAAATAGATAGTTCACCCAAAAATGAAAATTCTGTCATCATTTACTCACCCTCAAGTTGTTCCAATCTGTATGAGTTTCTCTCTTCCGTTGAGCACAAAAGAAGTTGATGGTACCCATTGACTTCCACAGTATTTCTTTCCCTACTATGAAAGTCAATGGGAACCAACAACTTCAAATTCTTCAAAATATCTTCTTTTGTGATCAGTAGAAGTTCATTCAGGTTTGGAACAACCTGAGGGCGAGTAAATAATTACAGACTTTTCATTTTTGGATGAACTATGCCCAAAAGGAGGTTTCTTCAACTACTTGGCATTAACACACCATCTTTATCTCTTTTAGTAGAACTTCCCTGTTGCAAATGTTGTTTCTGAGGTTTCCTAAGGATTTCTTCATGAACTGGTTGTCTAATAAACCCGGCATTGCATATTCCAAATATTGCTGGCTTTTTGAGTAAATGCTTTTGTTTTGTCATTTTTATTTATTTATTGCGAATATGTACAAAATGATTGAGTTGTAATGCAAGCATGCACTGTAAAAAATGACCATGAATTTAACGGTAAAAGACTGTAAATATGCTACAGTAAAAACCTGTTAAATGGTTAACGGTAAATTCCCCTACTATATACAGTGAAAAACTATATTGGACATTACATGTAATTTTACGGTATTATACCGTTTTTGGAAGTGAAAAAAATGTATGCATATTTATGTATAATTTACAGTACAGAATTCTCTGCGTTACATTTCAAATTTGATGTTTATTTGTTGAAATAACTATGTTTCTTAGTTTTTTCTGATCAGTTTTGTATATTTGGGTTGTGTGTAACACCTATTGTTCTTAAATGAATGTTTATTGCATTATTTCAGTTTCATGTGTGTTACCATGATGGTGTTTAGTGTTTGTGTGAATGACACTGTGCACCTTCTATATATGTTATTATTTAAAAGCTGCTTGTGATAAACCGTAAAACCTAAAATGTTGCTACCGTATTTTTTACTGTAAAATTCCGGCAACCACAGCTGCCGTTTTTTTACCGTAAATTTTACGGAATTTTTTTTACAGTGTAGCAATAAACAGAATAATTTCATTTTGAGAGAACTTTACTGCCTATTATCCAGCATTGCTTATTTCAAAGCTAAAATACAGTTTACAAGACTCATGTAGTGATGAATAAATGATGACAGAAAAATGTATGGGTGAACTGTCCCTGTAACATTGGAAAAAACACAGCAGCTTTAACCATCATATGCAGAATAATCTGTCTGGATAATGTCTGACTGCTAGCACTCAAAAACCACAAAGAATTAATGAAACGAAGGGACAAGAGACAAGAAAGCGGTGGGGAAGTGAGAGAGACAGAGAGAACAACAGGCACTCTTGATCAGACACAACAGCATGTCCTGACCATGAGTTCTGCAAATGCAAGAGAGATTCTTGTGGTTGAAATGGTTTGAGCAATATAACAACCCCCACTAATGTTACCAAACCGAAACACACACAGACAAGATCTTTGAGAAAGTTTAAAATTAATAGTTCACCCACAAATGCAAATTAACTGAAAATTCACTCACCCTCAGGGCATCCAAGATGTAGATGAGTTTGTTTCTTTGGAAAATGTAGCATTCCATCACTTGCTCACCAGTGGATGCTCTGCAGTGAATGGGTGCCGTCAGAATGAGAGTCCAAACAGCTGATAAAAACATCCCACTAATCCAGGAGTAATCCATAATAATGCTTCCTCCAGTGAAAAAGTCCATCCCCTGTTACTCTCTCACATCAAAATCCACCAAAATATTTGTTGAAAACCGTTTTAGCTTGTAAACAGTGACGATATTACTTTTTTAATGGAGAAAGCAATATTATGCATAGAGAACTCGTATTTTTCCGGAAGCAGTGATGGTCTGGAGTGGTCTCAATTACTTGTGGATTATTGTGATGTTTTTATCAGCTGTTTGGACTCTCATTCTGACGGCACCCATTCACTGCAGAGGATCCATTGGTTCCTGATGGAATGCTAACTTCCTCCAAATCTGTTCCCATGAAGAAACAAACTCATCTATATCTTTACTGTATTAATGAGTTTTTAATGTTTTTAATGTTTAATGAGTTTGGGGAGAACATGAGCTTGACTGTCATGATGATAACAACAACAACAATAATACACAAATGTCCCAAAAAAAGCCTCACTTTCTTTATACAAAATCTATTTTTCCTTATGATTTTGGGTTGCAGTGAGACCTGGACATGTTTTTGTGAAAATCGCTGAGAAAACACAAAACAAGCATGAAGTAACCTGTGACTGCAAACGCATTGAGTAATGATGTCGCAACTCAAGTAATAAACATAATCCTTAGTTGCTTCAGAGTTAGTCAAGACAACAATCTCAGAAAATATGTGTGTAGACCAATACATTTTGATTCTTGTAATATATGAATCATACAAGTATGAGATAGTGGAGTCAAGAGAAGTGTGGACAGTTGGGAAATGTTCGGAAAGTCTGTGCAGGAGGAAAGTGAGATGTTGGGAATGTCATTAACGTGCAATAATATGCCTTGTTTTTAGCATGATAGTTTTACTTTTTTATGCATTACAACAATATCATTTATTGTTGTGAAAACAATGTTAAAAAGCAATGCAATAAATAAATAAAGTAACCTTATTGTAAAGTATAACAACATTTTTTTGGTGTGAAATATAATGCAATATGAAAATATTGATCCAAAGATGCAAAGGAGGCTTGATACTTTGCAAAGTATGTAAATAGACCATGCAAATCTCAAGAGTTTAATGGGTTTTTTCACATCAGGATACAGTGCATCATAGATGTTAACTATTAATAGTGCAAACAAACTGGTCAAGCTTGAATCACACAACATGGATCATTGGCCATAATCACATGTTGGTGCATTGATGTGATATCTTTGTTATACATTAAAGGAATAGTTCATCCAAAAAGCAATTCGGTCATTATTTTATTCACCCAAATAACCATCAATAAAAGTTTCTTTATAGTTGACCCAAAAATGATAATTCTGTCATCATTTGCTCACCCTCAAGTTGTTCCAAACCTGTATGCATTTCCTTCTTCTGTTGAACACAAAAGGCAATGTTTTGAAGAATGCTGGTAACCAGTCAATGAAGAACTCACATTCTTCTAAATATCTTCTTTTGTGCTCAGCAGAAGAAAGAAATGCATACAGGCTTGGAACAACTTACTATACAGTGAAAGTGGGTTTATAAACTTGGGAATACAGTGCACAACTTTAATGGTCAATTAATGAGCAAATGCACAAGAAAAGCATCTCATCTTACCGTGATGTGGCATAGTAATGGTCTCATTGGAGTTGCTGGAGCCCACATTGAAAATGACCACAGCGGATGCATTGAGAGCAGCAGCATGTCTGATCTTCTCCCTGTAGGTGCAGTTTCCTATGGCTATCAGTGCTATCCATGGGATGCTGGGATGGGGAAGGGGGAATTTAGTGTTACTGTCACACACCTGTCTGTCCTGCAGAAGAGATGGCATAAAGACAAAGCCCCTGGCATCTCTTTTAGGTGAGTGCTCCCCATATCTGCCACACTCACTCTTATCTGTCTTTATTTCAGATGTGACTGGATCCAGGTAAGTGATGTTGACAAAGGCAGTGTACCATTCCTCCTTCTCTGCCACTGTGAAGTCCAGACACAGCAAATGCACGAAGCAAAACGACAGCAGCCATGTAGACAGGGCAAGACTCCGGCAGGCTTGGGTTAGGGACATTGCCATGTTTTCAGAGATGATGCCAAACTAACTGTTTTCACGCAGGGGAGCGTCTTTATCCAGCCTATTTTTCAGTATATGATTACGATCCTTGAATACGGCATCACTTGGCAACCCCACAACACAATTAAAGCGCAGTCAGACCGAAACATCTACCAGTCCATCACCGTCGTCCTTTAAAAGTGGCTTATAGATGCAGTCCACCACCATGACGTGTCACCCAGCAGCATTTGCGCTTGTTATGACGGTGTCGGATGCGAAGGTTGCCAGATATTGTAAAAGAAAATTGACTGTAGAGGAAAAAAATCTTTTGTTGAAGAATATCACAATATACAATGCTATATTAAGCAATAAGGGACTCAGAGAGCGTAATAAATAAGTAAATAAATAAATAAATCGGATTAATTGAAAGGAGAATGTTGGCGTGTGCACTGATCAGTGGAACTATGAACTACTACTACTACCACACACACACACACACACACATCACACAATATGCATCACTGGTCATAATCACATGTTGGTGCATTGATGTGATATCTTTGTTATACATTAAAGGAATAGTTCATCCAAAAAGCAATTCGGTCATTATTTTATTCACCCAAATAACCATCAATAAAAGTTTCTTTATAGTTGACCCAAAAATGATAATTCTGTCATCATTTGCTCACCCTCAAGTTGTTCCAAACCTGTATGCATTTCCTTCTTCTGTTGAACACAAAAGGCAATGTTTTGAAGAATGCTGGTAACCAGTCAATGAAGAACTCACATTCTTCTAAATATCTTCTTTTGTGCTCAGCAGAAGAAAGAAATGCATACAGGCTTGGAACAACTTACTATACAGTGCAAGTGGGTTTATAAACTTGGGAATACAGTGCACAACTTTAATGGTCAATTAATGAGCAAATGCACAAGAAAAGCATCTCATCTTACCGTGATGTGGCATAGTAATGGTCTCATTGGAGTTGCTGGAGCCCACATTGAAAATGACCACAGCGGATGCATTGAGAGCAGCAGCATGTCTGATCTTCTCCCTGTAGGTGCAGTTTCCTATGGCTATCAGTGCTATCCATGGGATGCTGGGATGGGGAAGGGGGAATTTAGTGTTACTGTCACACACCTGTCTGTCCTGCAGAAGAGATGGCATAAAGACAAAGCCCCTGGCATCTCTTTTAGGTGAGTGCTCCCCATATCTGCCACACTCACTCTTATCTGTCTTTATTTCAGATGTGACTGGATCCAGGTAAGTGATGTTGACAAAGGCAGTGTACCATTCCTCCTTCTCTGCCACTGTGAAGTCCAGACACAGCAAATGCACGAAGCAAAACGACAGCAGCCATGTAGACAGGGCAAGACTCCGGCAGGCTTGGGTTAGGGACATTGCCATGTTTTCAGAGATGATGCCAAACTAACTGTTTTCACGCAGGGGAGCGTCTTTATCCAGCCTATTTTTCAGTATATGATTACGATCCTTGAATACGGCATCACTTGGCAACCCCACAACACAATTAAAGCGCAGTCAGACCGAAACATCTACCAGTCCATCACCGTCGTCCTTTAAAAGTGGCTTATAGATGCAGTCCACCACCATGACGTGTCACCCAGCAGCATTTGCGCTTGTTATGACGGTGTCGGATGCGAAGGTTGCCAGATATTGTAAAAGAAAATTGACTGTAGAGGAAAAAAATCTTTTGTTGAAGAATATCACAATATACAATGCTATATTAAGCAATAAGGGACTCAGAGAGCGTAATAAATAAGTAAATAAATAAATAAATCGGATTAATTGAAAGGAGAATGTTGGCGTGTGCACTGATCAGTGGAACTATGAACTACTACTACTACCACACACACACACACACACACATATATAACGCTAAGCAAATAATGTAAAAAGATCGCACAATCTTTAGAAGTTTTGCAGTTGTTACAAGTTAGCATTTTTTTATACTCCTTTGATTTTATTACTACTATATTTATTACAATGTTTGAGTAGAATATATGCAATATTTGAATGATTCTTCCTTTAATTTATTACTTAGTTATCACATATCGAAAAGAGGCAACGTGAAAATTTAGTGAAGCGATTTGGTAGAATATCTGGCAACCGCTCCGTTACGGACAGCGCTGGACATGTGCGTTGCCTTCCTCTGTGATGGAGTGGGACTACATATCCTGTAATTATTTTAAATTAACATATATATGGGTATTAATATATATAGATATTTTAATACAATTTATCTGCATCAGATTATAATCCAAACAGTTCCACCACGCAAAAGACACCTGTTAGTAATGTTCATGGAACTGATAACAGCGTCAATTAAGTTTCCTTCCGGAACGATTTAGCGTTACGCACGCACCGGGATCAGCTGTGATCAACTGCCTGTTTTCTACGCGATTAAACCTTTGTTTCCTATGACAAACGTGGTCGATTATATGTTATTGAGCTGTGACTAAAACCAGACGTTTTCGTAAAAGTAACTGTTAAGTTGAGATGTTTATTAAAGTCATTAATGAGCTCATGTAAGTTCAGTGGGAATCAGCAGCGCGGAGTCACACTCTGTCAACAGGGCATCGCAATGTGTTTTATAGTGAATCGATAACATGTCACAGATTTGTGTTCTGTCTCTGTGATATTGGAGGTGGAAGATGTCTAAGAAAAAGACTGGCGCTCGTAAGAAGGCTGAGAACCGAAAGGAGCGAGAGAAACAGACTCGAGCCAATAAAGACGTTGTTGATGTGGCCAAACACCCATGCAATGCATCCATGGCAAGACTCATCTAAAGCGTTCATAGTGTACTGCATTGACAGATTACGATGTGTATATATATATATATATATATATTCCACAAGACACATTTTCAACATCATATAGCTACATCTGGATCTTCTGAAGGCAATGAAATGACCGAAAGCATGTGATCTTCTTGTCTTTTCTGTCTATTGTAACGGTGGCTGGGAGCTTCATTATAAATGTACTGTCCTGTTACCTAAATTATTTCTTAGATGTGACTTGTTTATTTTAAAAATACAAATCTTTGGTGAATCACTATAATTTGTTGAGTATTCTCATAATATTAGCATGTATTCCATGATTGGAATAGGTTATATGCATTTGCTAATTTTATCTTAAAATCTCAATGCTGTTACTTTCAGTCCTGTTACTCATATACTAATTTATCCTATACTTATATATAGTAACTGAGTAAAAGTAACAGGAGTGAGTAGTGTCATCAGATTTATTAATGTAAATATTAGGCTACATCCATATTTATCTAGAGAAATTTGAAAATGCATTTTTTTCTCAACATTTTGGCCTTCTATCCACACGGAGACAATGCTTTTGTCCAGAGAAAACCTGTGGTTGTTCCTGCATTGCTGTTTTATATTACATTCCTTCAAGTATGACAGAAAATGTACTTGAAATCTCAGCATGTCCAGTGAGTGCTGTCTGCCATCTACTATTACAATCTCTTCTAATCTGAATTTTGTGACATCTAAATTGAGACATTTTATTCAGTATAATAAAAATGACAAAAACGCAGTAGCACCAAAATGACACACAAAAACTTAAATTGTTTTATGTTCTTGCAGCCCGAACACACAAATTTGGCCGGCAGAGTGGTGCTGATGAAGATGATTATGGTGCGTCTGGATACAGCTCCTATTGGACAAATCAGGAATCTGGAGGGGGCTACAAAGACGAGGAGGATGACGACTTTGACGATGATTATGATGAAGAGGACGAAGATGAAGATGATGATGACGATGAGGAGGAGGAGGAAGACAACCCAGAGGTGGAGGACTCTCTATCAAATCTGAGTTTGGGAGCAAGTGGAAAGACCCAATAAAAATGCAATTTGTAGATGGGATTCAGAAATTCAGATATAGGTGTCATCTAATAACGTGTCAGATATTTGGCCTTTTACCTAAGGTTTTCTGCATTGCATTGATATGAATGTGTGCATAAATGTCTGACGTTGTCACCTTTTTGAATTTTAAATATATCTGAAGAAATGTTTTTAAAAGTCTGTTGTTTTTTTGTATTTATTTAATGGGATTTGTATGCCTCTTCAGATAACAATAATGCAAACCAGACCCAGCTTCTCAGCTTTTAGGATGCCTATGCACTAGATGCTGTTATTTATTTATTGATTTTATTGATTTTAAAGGAAACTGAACTACATTTTGCTACAATACACTCTGATTAGGCATCTATAGGGATAGGTCGATGGACTTAATGCATTCAGGGCTAATAGGTGTCAGTATTAAGTTAGTTAACTAACTGCTGCAGCTTCACACCAAATATGTTCCTTTCTTTAGGTCATCTCATACACATCCATATAACAGACATTCTTTTATTTGGACTCGCCGTATATTTTTGTTGATATATTGTCTGATAATTTTTGTAAAGCAGCTTCAGCATTGACTAAAATAAAATAAACGTAATTTTAAATTGTATTAATAGTAAATGGTAAACATCGCACGCAGCTGGTCACGTGACGTCAACATGGCTGAGGCCATGAGGGGGCGACCCGCTCTAAGCAAAATAAAACTGTTTTCCAAGTGCAGTTTCAAGACTGATTACTTGAGTCTTCATCTCATGTCGGTGCGCATCATGTTAATAATATTTCTCGTTCCTTTTTTTTCAACAAATGACTGAGTGCATATTTAGCAATTTACCTAGAGGACTTTGTTAGATGTCCTTAAATAACCTTATCTTAAGGTCCTATGTCAGTGGACTTCAAACCTCTGTTCCTGCTTTCATGAACTGGCTTCTTCGTGGATCCGAGATTACTGTGTGTTTAACACCCCAAACAAACATGTTGCCGAGTTACACAGAAGGAAGAGCACTGGCGCTGCGCTTGTAAGAGACGCATGTCAAAGTGAAAGAGCTCCATGGGCGGTGTGTGTGTGTGTCTTCACTAGCAGATTCACCAGTGCGCGCACGTAGGACGAGAGGAAGAAGCCTGCATTGTGCACTCATGGATTAATATCGCGCTGGAGCAATCAATAGGATTCTATATACCTCCATGATATACTTCAAGGACTTTTACATAACGAGAACATGTGAACTTCACGCAGTTGTCGCGGTTGGCCTACCAATGACCCTCTTCCTTGCCTTCATCGTAGGAGTGTGGAATAAGCCAACCAAGCTAAAATCAATGGTAGGAAACAAATACTCACTCACTGGACGTTTTGGCTCATTAATGTCACTGAACAAGGGCTAATAAACTTGTAATATGGTACTGATCAGTACTGGTTGATAGTGGCGCTCATGCACTACGCATTGTGAGTGACATGTCAAAATATTTATCTACAGTTAATATACCTGAACCATGTTGTAAATATATGTCGAAAAGCATGGTTGTTAAAAAACAGTTCAATTTCAACGTTGGGTAATACGAAGTTTTACCTTATTTTATTTATGATGTCCATAAATGGCACAAAATTTCATCTCAGCATAGGCGTAATTTGCGGGTGGGACTGGTGGGGCTTATCTAGCGGGGTTAAGTTAGTTTTGTTTTCGATATTCGTTACACATTC